GATTAATTAAGATCGCTTGTTTCTTAATTAATTACAATTAAGGAGAGATAGGAAAATAGTTTCAACGGTGAATATTCAAAGTAAGAATTGATTTACTTTTGCATCAATGATCAGTTGTAAGATTCCGATGGTGGATGTTGACAGAGACCAAGTTTCGTGATATTAATTGATTTCAAATTGAATTGTTTTTGTTTTTGTTTTTGGCCAAGATTGTTTTCTGTTTTACTCAAAACCCTCCATCCTTATTCACATCATCAAAAATTCGGCTAAACACTCTTCGTGGGATCGACTCTTGCTTACCCTATTTACAGTTCAGTAGTTAGGTTAGGAAGGTTTTTAATCTTGGTTGCCTACGACAGCACACCAATTATTCTGAAGTAAGGGCATAGATAATACGGTAAGACTATCATAGTGTTGAACGACCCTGTCGAAAGGCAGTGACTGATCTCACTTGTCCAGGTTGTTTGGTGACAACCTGGTGTAACACATGGGCGCTTGCTGTAGGCGAATACACCGCAGCAAGTTCACTGGACTGACCCACCAGAGGATTCCATATGGATGGTAACCCCAGTGTCTATGGAACAAATCCTCTAACGAATGGTGGTGCATGTGATCCTTAGACTTGAGATCAACGGAGCGCCTTGTGCACCGATTGATATAGTTTGACACTAGCCTAATGCAGTTCTGTTCAGAGCTGTCAATATGGTGGTGATTGGCTACATCAAGGAGTGTATCAAGACTATGGTGGATGAACAGAGGATTCATCACTCCCAGGTACGGGAGAAGTTATCTCACGGCGCAATTCAGTAAATGGCAATGACACTAAAACTGTGGCCACAGTGGGATTGAGTTGTTGCTCTATCCAGTTTATAATACAGGTCATTAGTCCAGTAACTGAATACATAATATCGAGAGTAACCAAAGGTTGACACTATTTCTATGCCCTGGTCTCATCGTGATAACGGATGATGAAAGGATTGAATTGTACGGTAACCATATCATTGACAGGTAGCTACTTTGCTGAATCCGAATCTATCGGGTGGTCATGATGCCTTGCTATGGGCTAATATTGGTCTGTATGTAGTGAGACGATTAATTGGTGTTAATCGCGATACTACACATTACCGGTATGATGAGGAGCCTATGGGTCACACACATAGAAGATAATTTAAGAGCCAGGAAGTTAGAAGGGCGTTTTCGTCTTTCTTAGGCGAAAGGGTATTTTGGTAATTTCATAGTGCAATTAAATTTGCTAAGGTAGCAACCTTTATTTATTTTGTTAGAAAAATTAAATAAGTGAAATTACGTTTAAATATGTGTTCGCATATATTTAAATATATTATCATTATTGTTAAATGTTAATATATATATAGATTTTAATTGAGATAATGATGAACTAAAATAAATATCTAATTGGGAGTGTTTGGAAACAAGTGGTGTTTGGGTTGGAGCCCAAGCCTATTCCATATGGGAATAGGGCAATTAAAATATCACTATAAAAGAAAAGTTTTAATTAAAAAGTGGTGTGATTTTATTATTCATTCTTTTCATTGAAAAGAAAAACCCACAGCCCCAAAACACTCTCTTCCACGCCAGTTTTAGTTTTGATTGAAAATCAAATACTCTTCATTTCCTTCTTTGTTCTTAAGGCTAAAGAGGATCTAGCAAATCCCTCTTTAGTTCCTTGCGATTATCTTCATGTGGACAACGTTGGTTTGATCCTACACTTGGGTGGGTAGCAAAATACATTCAGATACAAAGCTAGAGGAGCCTCCAAACGTGCGTATGATTTCTTAAAACTCTAAACTAATTTCTGCAGATTCTTATTTTGATATAAACTGTAAATTTGTACCCTGATCTTGGTTCTTTGGAATGATCCGTGTTATTCTTAATTTTTTATTTTCGCTGCGTAACTGGATCACTTCCTAACAGTCATTTCCTCCAATGTAGCTTGTGTCAAACCGATGATAACAATTCAATGCAAGGTGTCCACTCTTTCCATAAACTTGACATACAATCCTGCCTCTTCTAGCTCTTCTATCTCTTCCTCTGACACCAATGAATTGTGAGGAATAAAAGTGGTTCTGCGGTGTTGCGTTCATAAACTGATTTAGACTAGTACCAGATTGATGAGGAGCAAAATTTTGGGAGGAGAGATTAGGGTTCTGTATGGGTGAAAACTGATGCTGTCCTGTATTAAGCAAGGACTGTTCACTTTTATATTTTGTTTGAGTTGTATTAGTAGTGAGATTAGCAAGATGAATTGAACCTCCATGAAACTCAGTGCTGACAACTGAATTTGCAACTAGATTTGCTCTTTCCAACCTTAACTCATATTTTTGCAAAATAATATGTGCTTCCTAAACAGAGATAGGATCTATCCTAGACTCCAATCTTGTAGCAATATTTACTACAACGGCATCATATTCAGAACTTAAACCATCAAGAATGTAGTTCATTAGTTCTTCATCAGAGATCAGAATTCCACTAGCTAACAATATTTTAGCAAATCCTTTCATCTTTACAAAATATTCATGGATACTAAGATTATCTTCCTTAGTGTTTTGCAGCAAACTTTTAATGTGCACAGTTTTAGTTTTAGATTTTGTAAGAAATTCTTTTTCAAGTGCAATCCACATATCAGCAGAAAATTGACACTTAGACACTACTGAGAACATAGATTCTGAAATAGATCCAAGAATCCAACTTGCAAGTAGCTTGTCTGTCTTCTTCCATTGATTATACGCTGGATTTAAGCTTCTTCTTTGTCGACCCCTCAATGCCTTCAATTGGAACTTTCACGAATGACGCTAGACATGAAATTAGTCTAGTAAGATGCTCCTCTAAGTCATGGGAGCCCACAACAAATAAAACTTGTGATTTCCAAAACCTGTAATTATCCCTAGTTAATTTGGGGGAAATTACAGGAAGAGAAGAAGAGGACATTGATGAGGTGTTTGTAGAATTAATGAGCTCAGTGGTCAATTTAATATTTGAGCTATTTTGATTGAGAGAGAATTGAGTAGGATCAGCCATCTTTGACATTAGTCGACAGCTCTGATACCATGAGAGTTTATAGAAGAAACAAAAAAAGAAACAGAGAGAAAGAAGTAGAAAGAGTTTTGGGAAATTCATGTATTTACTTTTTTCTACTGTTTGTACAGTAAATGCACTTTTTATAGTGCTCATAACAGTAACTAACTAACATAGTAGTTAACTAACTCAGGTTCAGTAACTAACTAACACAGTGGGTTAAGCTGAACTTCTACATGACTAACTTTGCTAACTCTTACTAACATACCCTAAAGTTTAATAAATTGTTTTTTAATTAATGATTATTTATGGGCAATTTATTAAATATAATTGATATATGGGATATATGTGTGTTATATTAACGTAATGCATATTTGTTATGTTTGATAACATGTGATGCCGTATTGAAGCATGTAGTATGCTTGTATGTTTAATGCATATTAATTATGCCATTGTTTATAGTTAAGTTTTAATATTTATATGTAGAGGTGGAAAAGTAACCGGCCCGGCCCGGCCCGGCCCGACCCGACCCGACCCAGCCCAGCCCGCGGCGGGTTACTTTTTTTGGCAGGTTGGTCCTAATCCGCCCGCCAACAAAGGCAGGCAGGGTTAGGCCCACCATTTTTGGGGTAATGACTGGCCCAACCCGGCCCGCCAACCCTAACCCGCCGGGTTATTAATTCAATTTTAATACAATAAAATTGTAATATTAGAAAAATTAGATTTATTCATTCAATTGATGAAACTTTAGCACTAAAATGAATTATATTTTATACAAGACATGGAAATTTAAGAATAAGACTTCAGTATTTAATTTTTTTATATTTTACGTACCATAAAAAATAATAATAACAATGTGTCAAATATTACGAAGTTTTATACATTTTAATATTTATGATTTAGAAGTATAATTTAATATTATTGTGTAAAATTATTTGTAAGAGTTCAATCATAATAGTTTAATTAAAAGAATTAAAAAAATGGGAGAAACTTGAAAAAAATAATTAATTTTTTATTTTTTTTATTTTTTTTTGGGCCAAGCCAACTCGCCGGGTTGGCTATTGTAAACAAATAGCAACCCGTCGGGTTGGCGGGTTGCAACTTGGCCCGCCCGGGGGTTGCATGCGGGTTGGGTTCAACCTGGCCCGCCTATAAGCGGTCCGGGTTGAACCCTCTCTAATGCGGGCCGGGTTAGGGTTGACCCGCCTAACTCGGCCCATTTGTTCCACCTCTATTTATATGAAGTGTTGAAACTTAATTTTATGGCATGACATTTAGTTTTAGGTTTGTAGTTTGGGGTTTATGTTTTATATTTAGTTGATACATATGGTGGATATGTATAGGGTAGATATTAAAACATTAAGCTAAAACAAAACCTAATCTTTAAATCTTCTCTAATTAAAATATTAAGTCTAAGCCTTCCATTATGAGTCAATTAACTATTTGCCATAGAATTAGAGATCCCAAGATTTCTATTATGTGAGGGATGCTAATTTTATTACACATAATTGATTGTCTTAGTTCTTGGATATAAATTTTCATTATACCTAAGATTTCTATTATGTGAGGGTATAATGGGAATTCTATTTTAAGAAAGCATAATGGGTTAGATTTAACTAGTCTAGGGTACCAAGATTTCTATTATGTGAGGTATCCGAAACTAGAGGTAAGGAAATGAATCATAGCTTATATAGTGATACAAAAGGAAATAGTTTCTTACTTATTGAATTTAATGGACCAAGATTTCTATTATGTGAGGTTTATTAAATTTGATAAGAATTTGATTCCCCACTAGAAATTTTAATCTAACGAAATTTCTAAATCTTCATCCAGGGAAATATAGGATTTGAATAAAATAGCGGGAGCTAATTAGATTAGCTTAATAAAAGATATATATGACAAAACACTCATAATTTTTTTTTTTAATTTTCTTGTAGCATCTCTCATAAAATATAAAATTGTAAAAGATGAATAATCTACTGTTGAAAATCCTGGATGAGAACAACAAGTTAGTTGGCCGTAGTGATATCAATGATTGGCAGAGGAAATTGACAATAATATTAAATTCAAAAAACGCAACCTACGTTTTAGAAACGCACCTGCCTGAACCTCCTTCTTCTGATGCTCCATTTGATGAGCATAACGAATATAAAAAATGGAAGGAAGATGAACTTAGAGCTTGCTCTTATATGATGGCATCGATGAGTGACGAACTCCAGAGAAAGTGTGAAAAGATGGAAAGTGCTAATGAAATTCACCTCACGTTACAAGAGTTGTACCGTGAGAATTCGAGGATAAGACAATATGAATTGAGTTCAACTTTATTCGGAATGAAGTTGAAAGAGGGTGTATCACCAGAAGAACATGTCATGAAAATGATTAACATTCACCTTTCATCAATAATTATCATCTCAATAGGATTGAGAGAAAACTTCCTGATTTGTTGAATGAGATTCAACAGTTTTATGATCAGGAAAGAAAAGGCAAAAGGCAGGAGGTTGTTAGCATGACTTCTTCTAGTAAGACAAATAAGAAAAAGCCAATGAAATTCCAAAAGAAATTGGGACAAAACCCAAGGGAAAGGGGTTTAAGAAAAAGGCTACACCTCAAGCCAATAAATATAAAGAAAAGGGCCAATGCTTTTGGTGCAAAGAAAATGGGCACTAGAAAAGGAATTGTCCTCTCAATCTAGAAAGTCTTAAGAAGACTAAAACTCTTCTTATTGAGAAGACTAGATCAGGTATATCCCAATGCTATGTCATTGAATTAGAATTAAATGTTAGTTCAAATAATTCATCCTGGATATTAGATTCAACTACTACTTCACACATTTGTGTTTGTTTGCAGGATCTACAGAATAGTTCTGCTCTAGGAAAAGATCAAGTCATGTTAAGAATGACGAATGGAGCAAATGTTGTTGCCGAAGCCATGGGAACATGCAGTTTGATGCTTCCATCATGACACTTTTTGTATTTGTACAATGTCCTGTATTTTGCTAAAGCTACTAAAAATATAATTTCTGTTTCTATATTATGTAAATATGGTTACAATGTATAGTTCAATAAAAATGAATGTCTAGTTTATTTTGGAAATAAACTTGTTGGCAAAGCTATCACTGCAAATGGTTTATATATGCTAGAATTAAATGACCATAGCATAATGAATTCCATAACTAATAAACGAACTCGAAATGAAATTAATCCTAAATTACTTTGGCATCATAGATTAGGTCATATAGGAGACAGAAGAGTAATCCAGTTAGGAGAAAGTGGACTTTTAAGTTCATTGGGTTCAGAACCTTATCCGACCTGTGAATCTTGTCTTCAAGGAAAAATGACCAAGTCGCCCTTTAAGAGTAAAGGGGAAAGAGCCAAAGAATTGATGGAATTAATACATAGAGATGCATGTGGACCATTTAATGAAATGGCTAGAGGAGGTTTTCACTACTTTATTATCTTTACTGATAATTATTCAAGGTTAATGAAATACAAATCAGAATCTTTTGAAAAGTTCAAAGAATTCAAGAATGAAGTAGAGAAACAAACTGGAAAGAGTATTAAAATTCTACGATCAGATCATGGAGGTGAATACTTAAGTACGGAATTTCGAGATTTTCTAAAAGAAAATGGGATTGTATCACAATTAACTCCTCCATTTACACCACAATACAATGGTGTATTTGAAAGGCGAAATCATACTTTATTGGATATGGTACGATCGATGATGACTTTTATGGACTTGTCGATTTATTTGTGGGGTTATGCCCTATAGACAACAGTGCATATTTTAAATAGAGCACCATCTAAATCAGTCCAAAAAACACCATATGACGTATATATGGTATGACAAACCACCTAGTCTTAACTATTTAAAAGTCCGGGGTTGTCCAACTTATGTCAAGACTGTCAAAACAGACAAGTTTGACGTAAGATCTAAAAAACGTCGGTTTATAGGGTATCCTAAAGAAAGTTTAGGATATTATTTTTACTTCCCTACTGATCAAAGAATCTCAATTAGTAGAAACGCACATTTCCTTGAGAAAGAATTTTTAGAAGAAGGAGGTGCAGGAAGAAAATTTGAACTCAAGGAATATTTCAAAGAGTCTCAAATCCTTGAGTTCAAATTAATAATACTTAGATAGGTGAACCAGATCAAGAACCTTCAACGCATGACACAACGGTTCTAGCTCGGAAAACTTCTAGAATATCTTGACCTCCAGATAGATATTATGGCTGTCTACATGAAAAAAAAATTTGAATCTTTTTTAGTGGGAGAAGTTGATCATAGAGATGATCCTAAAACTTATGAAGAAGCAATATTAGATATCGATTCTGGAAAATGGTTAGAAGCAATGAATTCTGAAATAGAATCCATGCACGCTAATCAAGTTTGGACACTTGTTAATCCTCCAGAATGAAGAGTTCCTATTGGTTGTAAATGGATCTTCAAGAGAAAGGTTGGCAAAAATGGAAAGGTAGAGACCCATAAAGCTAGACTGGTAGCGAAAGGTTATACTAAAAAACAAGGGTTGGATTATCAGAAAACTTTTTCACCAGTTGCAATGCTTAAATCCATCAGAATCATGCTAGCCATAACTGATTATGAAACTTGATAGATAGATGTCAAGATCGAGTTCCTCAATGGATTTATTGAAGAAAACATATATATGCAACAACCTGAAGGTTTTGTATCCAATACTAAGAGACATAAAGTGTGCAAATTACATAGACCCATTTATGGATTGAAGCAAGCTTCCAAAAGCTGGAATATCCGGTTTGTTGAAACGATCAAAACTTTTGGTTTCATAAAGAATCTGGATGAACCGTATGTATACAAGTGGGTAAAAGATCATGTCATGATTTTCCTCATATTATATGTAGATGACATATTATTAATGGGAAATGATATTGGCATGATGATTTAATTTAAGATGTGTTTGTCAAATGCTTTCTCTATGAAAGATTTGGGAGAAGCAAATTACATCCTAGGAATTCGCATCTATAGAAATAGAGCGAAAGGATTGATTGGGTTATCTCAAAGCATGTATATAGAGAAAATGTTGAAAAAGTTCAACATGCAAGACTCAAAAAGAGGCTTTTTGCTTGCGGTCATGGACTACATCTTTCTATGGATATGAGTTCTAAGACTGATCAGGAGCGACAGCGCATGCGTAATATACCCTATGCTTCAGCCATAGGTAGTCTTATGTACGCAATATTATGTACAAGTCTTGATATAGCCTATGCTGTGAGTGTTGTGAGCAGATATCAATCAAATCCAGGAGAGAAATATTGGTCAGCAATTAAAATAATCTTTATATACTTGAGAAGGACTAAATATTTAGTACTGAGTTATGGAGGTTTAGAATTGAAAATCCAGGGATACTTAGATTCTGATTTTCAATCAGATGTGGATGATATAAAGTCTACATCCGGATTCATCTTTACATGTAATGGAGAAGTAGTTAGTTGGAAAAGTTCCAAGCAGTCGACCACTACCGACTCCACTATAGAAACTGAATATATTGCCGCTTCAAAAGCAGCAAAAGAAGGTGTGTCAATATACAAATTTGTAGCTGAACTTGACGTGGTTCCAAACATGAGTCATCCGATAACCTTTTTTTGCAACAATAATGGTGCTATTGCTCAAGCAAAGGAACCAAGAGCACACCAAAAATCAAAACATATTCAGCGTAAATATCATATTTTGAGAGAGCTTGTTGAAGCTGGAGAAATTTTGGTGCAGAAAACACCTTCAGCGGATAACGTAGCTAACCCACATACTAAAGCGATGACACAGAATCAATTAGATCATCATCTTGAGAATATGTGTATTAGATACCACAGCGATTGGCTCTAGTGCAAGTGGGAGTTTTGTTAGTGTATGCCCTAGGAACCAATCATGTTGTCAGTTCCAAGGTATTATGTTTTGTATATATATGTTCATGTATATATTTTTGTGTATACATTTTTATCTTATTAATAAAAGAAAGTGTTCTTATTTCACATGTGATTTACTGCTTCGTTTATATATATGTATTACATGTGAAATGTCCAGATGATACAAATTTTTAGAAGATCAAAATCATCAAAGTATTCCCTACATAGGTAATATTAATTGGGCAATAATATTACATAGTAGGCATGCTGAATGCCTCAATTGAATATCATGTGATGGTATTAGTGTAAGTGATTATAGAAGTTATATCACTAGGGCATTAGTATGAATAAGCGTTTAGTGAACTGTTTATCGAATATGACCATTTATGATGAATCACATGGACATTTAGAATGCAATCAATAATACATCATAAGATCATACTAGTGTACTATTAATCCCTACACCTGAGATATCACGGTTGGATTCTGCATAAACACATATGGTTCATATGGTGTATAAATACGAGGCTAATCATGTCATATGTAAAAAGCTGATTTGGCCATGTGTTATTTATGTCTGAAGACAAGTGATAGTCAAGATGGGATCCGTTGACTTGGTATAGGATGATATCAAGTTCCTAGACAAATGTCAAGATACATTGGAAGAGGGAAATCTTTGGCCGGGGTATATAAAATGTTACCTGAAAGGTTGTTTCATGGTGACATGTTCCGTATATATTGATTGTCAATTTGATATAAGATTAAGACAAGGATTTTGACATACCATGAATCCATTTTTAATTGAGATTAGACAACCGAAGGATTTAATTATACAACGCATATGATTATAAAAGTGTTCGTTGGAGTATATCTTCATTGTGACCTAGGGGTTATGGAGCATTACTGATGCCTACCATAATTGGTAGGAGTTTTGGTCATAAAGAGTTATGACGAAACATATCAGAATAGACTACAATATTAGGCCCACGACTAGGCCACAGTGAACCTAAGAGGTCACAAATAAAAACAAAAGAAAATGGAGAAATAGCCAAAGAGAGTTGATTATCCAAGGTTGGCTAGCACCTACTAAGGGTAATAAAGTTATTTATATTATTATCATTGAATTAGATTCAATGGAGGGTTATGTTAGTAATTATGAATAATTTAAGGGTTAAATTTCTAATTGGAATTAAATGGAATTCCAATTCATAATTAATCATTTTCTTTATATTAAATTGCATTTAATAATGGGTTGTAATTGTAAACATATAAACAATTTAAGGGTTTAATTGTTATGTAAACAATTTAAAAGTTAAATTGTCAATTATGATTAAATGTTAATCCAATGTTATTATCTAAAGAAGTTTAATAACTTCATAATAATTATGGAATTATTTACAACTCCAAAACAATTATGGAATTGTTTAAGGAAGTCCAAAACAATTATTGAATTGTTTACAAGGCTACATATATAAAGAAAATGAAATATCAATTTTAGTGTAGAGATAAAAAAAATTTCTAAGAACCCTAAATATCTCTCTTGGCCTTATTCTACTTTTACCTTAGTGTGGATACTCTTTTGTTTAATTTCTCTTAAAATTAAAAGTCTCCAAGGTTGCTAAGGACTTAAGGTAACAAGCTACACCTTACTTGTTTTCAATTTGATTGAATTTTTTTGCAAAATACTAACATATATTTTATAGTATTATATGCATCATTCTCCATGCATTCCAACCTTCAATCGTAGCTTGAAATCATGTTCACAACCATAAAATAGGAGTGGGACACTTTGTTTTGATAAGGTTGTTGTGTTGTCTACCTCCGTGGGGGTGATGAAGCTCGAATCACTAAAATTAATTGGGATTTTAAGGCAAAGACACTTGTGCATATTGTATGCATTGGATTGGACCAAGTGAAGTTTGTAATTCTGTGTAACTGCCGTAACGGAAAAACATAAACTTCATACCTTAGCACTTAGGCATATGTACCTTAATCCTGTGATTAGAGTAGAAGGTGATATTTTGTTGTTTAACGGATCAATACCCTGGCTGATTGGGATTGTAGCTCTATGGGTCCGAGAAC